GAGAGCGTGTGCGTGTCTACCCAAAATTCTGAAAAGAGAATGGAAAAGGGAGTGCAGCATGGTCGTCCTCCCTGGAGGGTGATTTCTCACTTTGTCTCTGGTGAGTACATGTTTCCAATAACAAAAATCTCTCAAAAAAAAAAAGTAAGCATACCAACAAACAAAGCAATAAAACATAAAATCCCTCACAATGATGGGAAAATGTCAAAGGGATACAGAAGCCAACTGAAATAGCTCCTTATAAATAAACTAGTACTGTATTAACCCTAAAATATAGACTAAATATCCATAAGTCCATACTGATATTAATAATTAAATAAATACATAATTCTGGGATAATAGATGTCTGCCTCACAAAAGAATTCCAAAAACTTTATGTAAATACTCCTTCCTTAAGAAGATAGAATATAACTGTGCAGAGTAACTTACTTTAAAGGAGAATAATATGGAAAGGCAAAATAAAGAATAACTTTACACTGGAAGATCAGTACCTCAAGGCAAGTGATGAAGGGTAACATCCACAGTGATACATTAATGGTATATATCTTTGATATGATGTGATGTGAATGACAGGTTACCTACAAGGTCTTCCTTCCAAAACACCTGATTCTAGTCTAATTATGAGAAGAATCTCAGACAAATCCCAAATGACTGAAATTCAACAAAATACCTGACTAACAATCTCAAAATTGTCAAGGTCATCAAAAACAAAGAAAGCTGGGGAGCTGCCAGGACCGAGAAGAGCCAAAGGAGATAAGGAAATATTCTGTGCTACCCTGCATAGGATTCTGGAGCAGAAAACTGACATAATAGAAAAACTAAGGAAATATGAATAAAACATGGACTTTAGCTAGAACAATAGGACTTCAAAAAGTTCATGGAAAATTGATTTAATTATGAGTTTATTTTGGGGCAAAAATTTTTGAAATCCACGCATAATTTTTTCAAAATGCACATATTCCATGACATTTTTTAAACTACCTCATAGCAATGCATCAATATTAGTTCATTAATTGTGACAAATATACAAGAATAGAATATTAGTAACAAGGGAAACAAGGTATAGAGTATATAGAAACTCTCACCATCTTTACAATAATTCTGTAAATCTAAAACTGTTCTAAAATTTAAAAATTATATAAAAATAATGGAATGCAAAGTGAAGAAAGCTAATAAACCTATCATTAAAAAAAAAACTTTCAAAAAGGTTAGAAGTGAAGTAAAACAAGTAACAAGGCATTGATGACAGTATTTCAAGAGCAGATAAATAAACTGGATATTTCCATACTTCTGTTTTATTTCTTATATGCAGTAAAACAGAGGAATATTTATCTAACAAATACTTAACTTTCCAATAGGTTATATATTCTACTATGTTTACTATCTTTTTTTTTTTTTTGGAGAGGTTTTTGCTATAGGGTGCGTACGCTCGCCAGACAGACAGAGAGAGACAGAGAGACAGAAAGTGAGAAATCACCCCCCCAGGGGGGGGATGGCCACACCGCAATCCCTTCTCCTCCATTCTCCTCTCAGGATCTTGGGCACACACACACACACACACCCGGCGTTAGTTTAAGCCACCGGGTCCGGGATGCGAACCGTGGTTGACTACATGGGAGTCTAGCGACATAGCCATTACGCTAACTGCTGGTCCCTATGGTTACTATCTTTAATGAAAAATAATTCTGAATGGGGCCAGCAGGTGTTATGTGGTTAAGGGTGCTGGACTCCAACATGACCAAGCATAGTTTGAGTCCCAGACATGGCGTCTTGCTTTCTAACTTTCACTCTCTCACTTTCTCTCTCACTCTGTCCCTCTCTGGTCAAGTTAAAACAAACAGACAAAGAAACAAACAAACAAACTTAAATAAAATAATTCTTTAAAAAAATATAATGCTTTGCAGCATGAGAGTGGACAAAATATAAGCACACACAACATGAATCAATCAATAAACATATTGTTGGCCAAAAAAAAAAGCAAGATGCAGACTGTCGTAAAACATGATTCTATTCACATGAAATCAAATAAATAAAATACACTCATTAGACAGTATTGTTTAGGTATACATGTGTAAACTAAAAAGAAAAGCAGAGCAATTATTAATGTAAAATTCAGAATAATAGTTACTATAAGGTAGAGGGAGAAATGTTTATGAAGACATGTGGGGGATACTGTAAGTTGTTCAGTGATTCCTTTTTCTTTCTTTCTTTCTTTTTTGGAGAGGTTTTTGCTATCTGGGCACATGTACTCGCCAGAAAGAGAGAGACAGACAGAAAGAAAGCGAAAAATCACTCCCCAGGGGGGATGGCCATGCCACAATCCCTTCTCCTCCATTCTTCTCTCTGGAACTTGGGCACACATACGCACATGCCCGGCGTGAGTTTAAGCTACCGGGTCTGGAACTCGAACCACGATTGACTACGGGGAGTTCAGCGACATAGCCATTACACTAACTGCTAGTCCCATCTTTCTTTTAAAAAAATAAATAAGTAAAAGATTTTTGCCATAAGTGAGAACACTTGCCAGAGAGAAGGGAGACAGTGGGAGGGAAAGTGAGAAGTCACCCTCCAGAGGGGATGGCCACAACACAATCTCTTCTTCTCCATTTCCTCCTGGGATTTGGACATACACACACACATGAGCTTGGCATGATTCAAGCTATCAGGTCCAGGACTCAAACCATGGTTAGCCATGTGGGAGCCCAGCACCTTAACCACCATGCCACTTGCTAGCCCCAGTGATTTATTTCTTGATAGTAGTTATAAAGTATTTTCTTTATAGTTACTCATTAAACTCTATACTCAGCTTTTATGCTTTTTTTCTGAGTGACGTTCTAATTAAAATAACAGAAATGGAAAACTCAAACAAAATAATGCCCTAAGTCTTTTAATATTTGTAAACTAAATTGTGCAAAATAGTTATCCTGGACCCTATTTCTGAGCCTCATCCTACTTCTAGGGTTCTTTTTCATGGTAAGTATGTTAGGGATAGGGTGAGCCTCAGAAAGGGAATTAATCGGTCGAGATGCCAAGAATGAGTTGAAATTCATACAATAAAATATAAGAATGAGCTAAAAATAGAGATCATTGAGAGGTCAAAGTCAGGGGTGGTTTACAAAGGGAATAAAGAGTGAAGAGTCAGGGATAGACTCAGGAGGTGGATGTCTCTTAGGTACATCACTGGCTTATAAAAACAATAATAGACTATTTAAATTTTGCCATAGCTATTTTGTTGATGATCAAAAACCGGTAACAATTAAAATAACCCCCTTGGACTACTCATGGTGAAACAAAAAATCCTGATTTGACCATGGTGGGCATCTTGGAGGCAATGATTCTTGGACTGGAGATCTAAAACATGAGTAGAAGTCATCAAAATGAAGAAAAAAATGTGCAGTCAATGTAGAAGAAACAGCACAAGCAAAGACACAAACACAGACACATGGGACAGCAGGTGTGTGCACAAGAGACAGCAGAGTCCAGCTGCTAGAGACTGAGGCCAGAGAAGAGTTGCAGATACCAAAGGCATTGCATACCATGTTAAGAGCCTCCTAGTCTATAGTATTTGTAATGAAGAACCAGAGAATATTTTCAGAAAATTACATGTGGGCTAGCCCATGGTGTGGTGGTTAAGGTTTCTGGATCCCATGTGGCCACCTCTGTGGTTCAAGTCCTGGACCCAGAGGCTTGAGAAATACATCAGGTACATGTGTACCTAAAGTCCCAAGAGGAAAACTGGAAAAGGGATTGAACATGAACATGATCATGACCTCCGGGGCTGTGGTATTTTCTCATTTCTGTTTGTTTGTCTCTTTTCACTCTTCTCCTGCAAGGCAATGCATCCTCTGGCAAAATTTTAAGAAAAGAGAATAAAGGAAGGGAAAAGGAAGGAAGGAAGGAAGGAAGGAAGGAAGGAAGGAAGGAAGGACGGACGAAGGGACTTGACACAGTCATGGATAGAGAGATACAAAAAGAAAAGTGCTAGGTATAATGCACTAAATACTATTAAAATACATACATTCTTACTTAACAAGACCTAAAATTAACAGCCATGCTTAAAGTATTTAATTACCATTATTCCCTCTAAAGTTGACTGCCAGATAAAATAATTAAATGCTTGCTTGTTATTTTATCAGTCTATCTCTTATGAATTTGATTACCACACCAGGGTAATGTACTACTAAAAAAGCAGATAGGTCTTGATTGGTTAAGATGTAAACAATTCCATGAGAAACTAACATGACCGTTTCTCATGAGCTACCTGCTCATTTCATTTCATTTCAATACATTTTAATTGCAATAGAAGATAGAATTTAAATATTGAAAAAAGTAAATTTGTAGCAGATGGGAAAAAAGGCCATATTTATTCACTGTGTTGTACATTTAGGAAATTCATTTTTCTCCAAGTGATAAAGGAATCAGTAACAGATTAGACTGATTTTTGAAGGATAGCTTCAGTGGCCCTTGAGATACTCAAGGAACATCTGTAAAGTGCCTTAATAATGGCCCTTCTTGAATAATGAGATTTACAGAAAACATGAAGAATATTCAATAACAATTCTATAGAAAAGTTTATAATTAGATCAAGAACAAGTTCAAAATCACTATAATGGCTAAACTTTTTTTTTTTTTGAGAGGTTTTTGCCAGACAGACAGAGACATAGAGACAGAAAGCGAGAAATCACCCCCCAGGGGGGATGGTCACACCGCAATCCCTTCTCCTCCATTTTCCTCTTGGGATCTTGGGCATGCACGCACACGCGCCTGGCGTGAGTTTTAAGCCACCGGGTCCGGGACATGAACCGCGGTCGACTACGTGGGAGTCCAGCGACATAGCCATTACGCTAACTGTTGGTTCCCAATATAATGGCTAAACTTAATGAAATTATTTAGTTTTCTCTGGGCAGTTTAAAAATTTTATCAATTAGTTATTTATAGCCTTTAAAAAAAGAAAGGAAGCATATTACTTTATCTATGACAATAACAACGTTAATACCTACTAGAGAAGGTACTTTGGCTGTCCGTGCTAACTCTGAAGAATCTGCATTCTCTGGATCATATACCCATAAAATGAGACTCTGTAACATAAATGTATTTGCATTTCTTTACATCTTGTTCAAATTTCATTTTTAGGTATAGTAAAACATATCCACAAAAATGTTTTTATCTATTCAAAAATTTTAAAACCCATTTTAAAAAAATCAAAAGCAATATGTGTTTTTTTATTAAAAGAATAAGAAGACATTTGAAGAAAAAGTTAATGACATCCTCTGTACTGCCCTTCAGTAACAAATGTTAAAATTCTATGTGAATGCATATATATCTTTCTTTACATCAGTAAACAGACACAGCATACTTTTTGCAATAATAAAATTACCTTAACCCATGCTATCCGTAACTTACTTTAGTTACTTCTTACATGATTTCTTCAATATAGCTTTACTTGTTTCTTTCTCAGTTATTTTTTTGTATAATTTATTTGCACAGTTAAGAACAAATTATATATTCTTCTACCTACTATTTGAACTGAATTCTAACCTTTTTCCTGGCTTTAAGTTTAAGCAAATTTCACTTACCATTTTTTTTTAATTTTATCTATTAAAACTAAACTTTTTTGAAATAAAAAAACATTAAAGATACATATTAATACCTATTTAATAATTGCAGTAAGCTGTACAGTCCCAGCAAGGTGCTACTTTATAGAATGTTCACTTTACTCACTGAGTTTTACACCTAAAGTCAGACATGTTTTCATAAATATGTATATGTCAGCTGTGCTTCCTATTGAAAGTCTTTAAGTTAATTAAGACCTTTAGTGAATCAATAAAATGTGGGGAAAAAAAGGTATGGAAAACTGTACGTACCAGAGGCAGTGCAGGATGAGGGGGGGAGTTGGCAGAGGGAGAGAAGTAGGGAATCAAGGGGGGAAAAATAAAGCAAAATACATAAGAAACAAGAAATACAAAATTATTTGTTGATGACAACATGTACAGTAATATCCTTGATTGAGCCAATATACAATGTATACTGGATGGAAAATCTCATTTTGTACACTGTATTGATGTACAGTAAATGACTACAAATAAATAAATAGATAGATTTAAAAAATTATATTAAAAATACAGCAAAAGGGACCAGCAGTTAGCGTAATGGCTATGTCGCTGGACTCCCACGTAGTCGACCGTGGTTCGAGTTCCGGACCCGGTGTCTTAAACTCATGCCAGGTGTGTGTGCGTGCATGCCCAAGATCCCGAGAGGAGAATGGAGGAGAAGAGATTGCGGCGTGACCATCCCCCCTGGGGGGTGATTTCTCGCTTTCTGTCTCTCTGTCTCTCTCTGTCTGTCTGGCAAGCGCACGCGCCCTATAGCAAAAACCTCTCCGAAAAAAAATACAGCAAAAATGATCCCTCTACCTTATACTCCATTACTCAGTTCTTATCAGTCCACCTGTACCCCAGGTAACTGGTATTTTTTAAAAATTTATTTAATTAATGAATTATTATTCTTTTACTTTGACCAGAGAGAGAGACAGAGAAAGAAGGAAAGTGAGAAAGCAAGCCTCCAGGTCCGGTACTCAAACTGCAGCCAGCCTTGTGGAAGTCCAATGCCTTGACCACCATACCATCTGCTGCCCCTCCCAAATCTTGTTTATGGGGCCATGTGGGAGTCCAGCACTTTAATCACTATGCTACCTGCTGGCTCAACCTTTGAAAATTTGTATCTATTCATCTTTATGTGCTAATTATACTTGATTCCTATCCCAAACCACCAATTCTCCAATTTTCTCAGCTGTATCTATTCTGCCATTTAATCTATTATGGAATTTTGAATTTTAGATCCTATCTTAAAAGTTCTTATCCACTGATAATATTCTTTCTTGCTTTTGAGCCCTGTTATAGCCTTAAAAAATAATTAAGTAATGTAAAAGAGATTTGAGGTAAGAGTACCTATGGACAAATCGGCTCATTTCGACCATCTTTATCCATTCCAGGCAGTTTGATACTTTTTTTAAAACTACCTCTTCATTGCAATACATCCCTGCTTTTATAAAATTAAAGTATCTATATAGAGCTATAATTTCCAAATACTATCCATCTTAATTCAAATCTTATATATATCTATATCTCCACCAAACTTGTAATCATCCTCTATTCCAAAGTTTTTAAAGCTTTTTGATCTCAGGACTCCTCTTTCTTTCTTTCTTTCTTTCTTTCTTTCTTTCTTTCTTTCTTTCATTTTGAGAAAGAAATTTTTCCTACAGGATGCATGTAGTCGCCAGACAGATAAACAGAAAGTGAGAAATCATCCCCAAAGGGGATGGCCACACCACAATCCCTTCTCCTCCATTCTTCTCTCGGCATTTTGGGCATAGCGCCTGCTGTGAGTTTTAAGCCATCCAGTCCAGAACTTCCACCATAATCAAACACATGGTAGTCCAGAGATGTAACAATTATGCTATCTTCTGGCCCCTCAGGCCTTCTTCATACTCTTAAAAATTATTATTATTGGGACCAACATATGGCAATTCCTTCTCCTCTATTCTCTTTTCAGGATTTTGAGCATGTACACACATGTGCCCAGTGTGAGTTTCAAGCTGCCGGATCTGGGACTTGAACCACAGTTGATCATGTAGGAGTCCAGCACCTTAACCACTGTGCCACTTGATGGCCCTTTTCTTAAAAATTATTGAGATTCTTGGGTGGCGTGGTGGTTAAGGGCACTGGACTCCCACATGGCCATCTGCAGTTCGAGTCCAGGACCTGGTGGCTTGCTTTCTCACTTTCCCTCTCTCCATCTCTCTCTTTCTCACTCTGTCCCTCTCTGTGTTTATTAAAATAAACACATAAATGAATAAATAAATTTAAAATAAAATAATTCTGAAGGAAAAGAAAAAAAAATATTGAGATTCTTAGAAGGCTTTTGGTTTATGTGGATTGTATCTCTCAATATTTTCCAAATAACAAATTAAAACAGAACATTTAAAGGTATTTATTTGTTTTTAAAACTATGATAAACCTATTTTGCTATCTAACATATTTTTATGAAAAAATAACTGTATATTTCACAATAGAAAAAAATTAGTAAGAAGTCTGGTTAATGTTTTTCAAAATCTTTTTAGTATCTGTATTAATATAAAACATTAGAATAATTATGTCTTCTCCTGAATTAAAACTGTAGGTTTATATTGTTTGTGTAGGAGTATAGGGGAAGAAATTCATTCTGACACAGATATGTTGTTAGAAAAGGGAGATGAGTCACTGAACAGGTTTTATGGCACCTTAGGAGTCCTCAAAACACACCTCAAATACCACTGCACTAAGCAAATTTTGTTGCAAAATTAGCTGAAAAAAAATCCTCATCTGGTAAATATGGAAGAAGGACATTATACAGCAGTGATATATGATATATGACTACATAAAATTTTAAAAAATATTTTACCTGGGTCAAATTGTGAGTGAAATTTCTGTTGGGAAAAGAGGAAGAATTTTAGTAAACAGTATATCAAACATTAGTTGAATATTCTACTTTTACTATACATATTTTTGAGCTTCTGAATAACTTTTTATATTATAAATATGTAAACAAGGTTACTATTTTTTTACTAATAAAAAACTGTATTTACTTAGAAGCATTCAGAGTGTCAACAAAACAGCTGCAACTTTTTTTTTTTTTTGCAGTTTCAGAGTGTTTTCAGTTAACAGAACAATTATTTTGCTTTTTGGTTTTTTTTTTGAGAGAGATTTTCACTGTAGGGCGCGTGCGCTCGCCAGACAGACAGAGAGAGACATAGAGACAGAAAGCGAGAAATCACCCCCCGGGGGGATGGTCACGCCGCAATCCCTTCTCCTCCATTCTCCTCTCGGGATCTTGGGCACGCACGCACACGCGCCCGGCGTGAGTTTTAAGCCACCGGGTCCGGGACACGAACCGCGGTCAACTACGTGGGAGTCCAGCGACATAGCCATTACGCTAACTGCTGGTTCCCCAGAACAATTATTTTGTATAAAAGCTGCATCAAAGATGACTGAAGATGAAAAAACTACCCTCACATATATAACTAATTTGTGCTGTGTACCAACAAGAATCTGCTTTAAATTTCCATGCCAATTGACAACCATACTGTTCCAGGCAAGGTTAGTGGCTATTGAAAAATACCACCAGGACAGGGCTATCGAAAGACACATTTGGTGGTGTGTTAACTATACAATAAAAGACACTGTACAGTTTAAAAACAAATCTTAGACACCCTTACATTTCAATGTTTTTCTTTAAAAGGAGTGAATTGTGTACAGGACGTTTAAATGCTTTATAGACAAGGAAAAAAAACTGCACTAGAACCAACTTATTCATCACCATCATCTTCTTCTTCATCCTCTTCATCTTTCTCTTCTTCCTCATCTTCATCTTCCTCCTCCTCCTTTTTTTAACTCTTTGCAACTTTGACAACTCCCTTTTTTGCTGCATCAGGCTTTCCTTTAGCTCAGGATGCAGCAATATCTTTTTCATATTGTTCCTTTATCTTAGCAGCCTTCTTTTCACAAGGCTGTTTATCATCTGCAGCACATGTCTCCCAGTTTCTTTGCAACATGACCAGTGGATAGGCCAGGATGTTCTCCTTTGTTTTTTTGTTTTTTTTTTTTGAGAGGTTTTCGCTATAGGATGCGTGCGCTCACCAGACAGACAGAGAGAGACATAGAGACAGAAAGCGAGAAATCACCCCCCAGGGGGGATGGTCACGCCGCAATCCCTTTTCCTCCATTCTCCTCTCGCGATCTTGGGCACGCACACACATGTGCCCGGCGTGAGTTCTAAGCCACCGGGTCCGGGACGAGAACCGCAGTCGTCTACGTGGGAGTCGAGCGACATAGCCATTACACTAACTGCTGGTTCCCTTCTCCTTTGATTTTTGAGTGATATTTAGAACAGAACAAGAAAAAGGCCAAAGGAGGCCTCTTGGGTGCATTGGGATCCTTGAACTTTTTTGTTTCTCCTTTTGGAGGGATATAAGTTTTCATTTCTCTTTCATAATGGGCCTTGTCCACTTTTGCCATATCTTCAAACTTTCCTTACTCTTTAGCAGACATGCTTTTCCGCCTCTCTGAGCACTTCTTAGAAATCTCTGAGAAATTGGATGGCCACACCGCAGTCCCTTCTCCTCCCTTCTCCTCTCGGTATCTTGGGCACACACGCACACACGCCCAGCATGAGTTTAAGCCACTGGGTCTGGGACTCAAACCGCGGTTGACTACATGGGAGTCCAGCAACGTAGCCATTACACCAACTGCTGGTACCCAGAGAGAGATTTTTGCTAGAGGGTGTCTGTGCTCACCAGAGAGACAGAAAGCAAGAAATCACCCCCCCACCCCCCAGGCAGGATGACCACACTGCAATCCCTTCTCCTCCATTCTTCCCTAGGAATTTTAGGCATGCATGCATATGTACCTGGCATGAGTTTCAATCTGCCAGGTCCAGGACTTGAACTGCAGTCAGTCATGTGGGAGTCCAGCAACATAACCATTACACCATCTGCTAGTCCCATAAAATGTATATAAACTTTCTGATGAAAGCAGAAACATTTTGAATAAATTTAATACCAAATCATAAGAAAAATCTCAACTAATTTGAAATGAAAGGGAACTTCCTTTATTTCAGAAAAAGTATTGACCAGAAAAACTATAATAAATGTATATAAAATTGTGAAATAGGGCCAGCAGATGGCACAGAGGCTAGGTGCTGGATCACACACAACTGACAGAGATGTTGCAGTCCTGGACCTGACAGCTTGAAATACAGTCAGGTGCATTTGCATGCATACCCATAATGCTGAGAAGAGAATGGAAGAGAAAGGATTGCAGCATGCCCAATCTCCCTAGGGGTGATTTCTCATCTCTCTCTCTCTCTCTCTCCATCTTTGCGTGCCCACGTGCGTGGTGGGTGTGCACATACCATATAGCAAAACTTAAAAAAAAAAAGAAAATAAAAAGTGGGGCCAATAGGTGGTGTAGTGGTTGAGGCACTGGAGTCCCACATGGTAGACCAGTTTGAGTTCTGGACATGGAAGCTTGCTTTCTCTCTTTCTCTCCGTGGTGAGTACACATACCCTATAGCAAATAAAAAAATAATAATAATAAATAAAATAAAATAAATAATACTTTTTAAAAAATGAAATAATGAGAGTCTCCCTTTTGAGATCAGGAATAAGACAAGGAGGTCTGCTATTACTCTCTTCATAAACATTGTCTTTGTTACTCTTGCCAATGCAGTAAGAAGGAATAAAAGGAAAACTATTTGGGTCACTGGAAAAGTCATGACAGATTTTTTGCTATGTTTTCCTATGCAATGACACAATAGAAAGAAATAAATAAAACCATCATTAATTTGTAGGTCATGTGATTTGTAAAAGTTCTAAGAACATACATAAATAAGTTACTACAATTAATATGAGAATTTATAGAGTCTGCTAAATACAAATATTGATATTTGAGAGTAAACTGTAGAACTTCTTGTTTCTGATTCAGCATGATAAGGAGTTTGGAAGTTGCCATTCCATTATAAAAACAGATGAAAAGCTGAGCAAACTAGCACAACTTTTCTTAGATCTGTAAGAAAAGAGAGGTCTCAGGACAAATTGTTACCCTAAAATTGGAGAGAGAGGCAGATATAGAGAATCACGACAAGATGGAGCGGAAATCCACTCAAGAACAGTGTTGGGAAAAGAAATCCAGAACAGTAATTGTTAGAGGTGAGGCATGGACAACCCTCAGAATTAAAACTCCAGGGGATCCACTTTGTCAGAGAGAGTCCCACACTTTGGTGATTTTACCTCCAGGAACTCAACTAAGTTTTCAGAGCAAATATCTGAAAAAAGCTTCTGGCAACTTCTGGGGTTTTATCAGAACCTAACTGACCTGGAAGAAGGGAAATACCCAACTCCAATCCATTGTAATCATCCTCTCCCACCTAAAGGGGAGAAAAACGCTGAGAAATACTTGTGAAGTTCACAGTTCAGAGTTACAGGTTCACTGAAAGACTGAAACGTAAACACAGGACTATCCCATGCTCCCCTTCTACCACCTACACCTTACTACCATGTTAATAAAGGCCTACTTCTGGTGGTTTCTTTTACTCAGGACATGATAGCTAGCTATTAAGAAAAATTGCAAGGCAGACTAAAGAGCTAAAAACAGTCCAAATAGACAGATCAAGTATCACAACTAGACATAGCATGTCTGAAATTATCAGACATGACACTATAATAGTGTATGTATGTGTATATATATATGCGTGTGTGTGTGATCACACATTTGTCCAAACCTATAGAATGTACAACACCAAGAGTAAACACTAATGTAAACTATGGTGTTGTCAATGCAGTTTCATCAGTTACTGTAACAAATGTACCCCTCTGGTGGGGAATATTGATAATGAAGGAATATACATGTGTTTGGGCTGGGAGTACAGGTGAAATCTTTCTATCTTCCTCTCAATTTTGCTGTGAACTTCTAAACAGCTCTAAAAAATAAAATCTTGAAAAGATATAAATCTTAATCTATACAACAGCAAGGCTTAGTTAGAAAATAAAATTTAAAAATTTTGGCTATTTATGATAGCAACAAAAATATAAAGTACTTAGAAGTAAATCTAATAAAAATGTCCAGACATTTTTATGAAAAAATTTTCAACTTTATTTTCAGACATGTAAAAAAGTCTAAATAAATGGAAAGTTTTATATGTGGTTATTAAAAAATTGAGAAATGAAACCAGCAGGTGATGTAATGGTTGTGTCACTGGACTCCCACATGGTTCAAGTCCCAGACCTGGTGACTTAAAACTCACACCAGCATGTGTGCATGCTTGCCCAAAATCTCAAGAGGAGGAGAGGAGATTGCAGCCATCACCCCTCGGGGGTGATTTCTCGCTTTCTGTCTGTCTTTCTCCATCTTTCCAGTGAACGCACATGCCCTATAGCAAAAATGTCTCTAAAAATTTTTTGAGAAAGAATGTAAATTAAGTATGAACATGTTGATATAATATATGTTCAGAGTGGTTCTGTTATTTATTATTAGTTCTTCGGTATTACTTTGGCAGCATAGTTGATAATATTGTGGTTGGTGAATAAAATTTTGTATGAAAATCATAAAATAGATAATCAATTTGTGGTTAATTGAAAGTTGAAACTAAATAATCTCCAAAATTATTAGTTACCTTGTATTCAATATTACATTACTTACATAACTCTAAAATACCACAGAAAGCAAATAGGAGAGTCTTCCACAGACAGATAGCGTTCTTCTTCATCCTAAAAGAAAATGTGAAATAAATTATGATATACTAACATCAACATGAATACAAATATGGATATAAGCATCAAAGTCACAGAGGGAATAAATTATTTATCTAAGATTAGAGGAAGAGGGATAAATTTTAGAACATAACAAATTAATACTAGTTCACTTCATTAGCTACTCTCTGTAGGTAAGAATTTACTATCAGGAATGACAAATTTAGAAGACATTTTGATGATTTTCTATACTTACAGTTTCTCTTATATTTGTCTCCTTGCTGAAATACATTCAATTAATTTTCTCACTCAGTGTTTTTCACCTGGGGTGATTTTACTTCTAAGGGGACATTATGGAATACCTGGAAACACTTTTGGTTGTTACAACTGAGTACTTTTTAGTACTCAAAAGTCAGATATACCTCTTCTGCTGGTTAAAAGATCTGATGACACTGTAAATAAATGAAAAAGATATTCCTACATTTACATGTATGTGTGTGTACATATTTTTTATGGTAGTGCATGGATGTTCGCACATATGAGAGAGCTAGAAAGAGAGAGAAGCATCGTCAACAAGGTCTTGTCACAACCCAATGTCTCCTTTCCCCAGCCGTCAAGCTCCTCAGTATACTGGCTGCTTGCACACATGTGCCTGGTTTATTTTCAGGCGATGTGGGCATTGGAAACTGCGGGAGGCCATGCGTGTCCAGCCTTGCACAGCACTATTCTGCTGACACATCACTGTAGCTGAGCCAGCATGTGTATTCCTTTTATGTAAAATTACAGTGTGTGTGTGTGTGTTTTTTGTTTTTTGTTTTTGTTTTTGTTTTTGTTTTTTGAGAGAGAGAGATTTCTGCTATTGGGTGTGTGCACTCACTGGAAAGAGAGAGATAGAGAGACAGAAAGTGAGAAATCACCCCCTGGGAGATGACCACATTACAAGCCCTTCTCCTCCATTAGCCTCTCAGGATTTTAGGCAGGCACACACATGCACCCAGCATGTTATAAGCCACCAGGTCTGGGACTCAAATCACGGCTGACTAAGTAGGAGTCCAGTGACATAAATATTACACCATCTGCTGGTCCCAATGTTACACAGTTATATGGGTTTATAACATAAACAAAAGGGAAATGAGTCTTTTATTTCCTTATGAATTGTGTTTTTAAAACTGGTAAACACTCTTGGACAAATCCAGGAGTTGGACAGTGGCAGGGCTGTGAAATGTGGTGCTTCTACATGGCAATCCCACATGGGAGGTTCCTAGTTCAAGTCTGGAGACCTCCCAGAGTGTGCCAGGAAAGCACTTGCCCATGATTTGGAGCTAGCTGAGGGCCTGGGGTGGATTGCAGCAGCATCAGGACCTTGTTGGGGATACTGTCTCTGTCTCTCTTACACATAGATGAGGTAAGTAAACTTTAGGGGAAAAGAGATTCAAATATTTTTCACTACAGGAATTGAAAAATGAATTTATATTCATATGGTCTCTCCCATATCAGTCTACTTATGCCTGGAAATAGTTTATTAATTAAATAGAAGGCACAGGGGCCAGCAGGTGGTATGGTGCTTAATGCACTAGATTCTCACATGGCCAGCTGCAGCTCAAGTCCCAGATCTGGTGGCTTGCTTTCTTACTTTCTCTCTCTGTCTCTGATGAGCACACACACACTATAGCAAATTAATAATCATAATCATAATCATCATAAGTCATTGGGAAAGTCATGACATATTTTTTCGAGCAAAAATTTTTCTATGCAAAAATGTGTCATGACTTTCCCAACAGTCCAATAAATAAAATAAAATAATTCTAAAAAAAAATTAAAAACAGAGAGAAGGCACAAACTCCAAAGCAAAGGCTGGATGTGGCACAGGTAGTCTCTACAGTAGTAGTCTCAGACACACTTGAGTAGGAAACTCATCTGGGAGGTATGTAGCCAGTACTTGGTTATTATTAATGTGCCAAAAGTCTTAAAATGCTTTGTTCTGTTTTTCTTTTGCTTTCTGTTTTGCTTGTCTATAGTAAACCAGAGAGGATAAAAAATAATTCTCATTCATTTGCATTCACATATATTTTCTTAAACTGTGGAAAATGCAGCAGAGTGAAAACAAATCTGCTAGAATTGCTCTTAATCCTGGGCATTACCATAGAGGGTGTATGAATGAGACCCATTCATCTGAGAATGCTATCTAAGGTGGCAGCAATGAACTTTAATACACCTATTAATAAAAAGGGTAAGGTAAGAAAAACTATATATAGCCATGTCAATATTATTTCATAATTTATCATTAGATAAAATATATCTAAAAATTAATGAATATTGATCATTTTAAAATAGCTCTTATTTATAGTTATAATTAATATTATTTCAGAGAGGTCAAATTAAGTTGAAAGCTCAAAAGAAAGGCAAAATAAAATATAATAAGTATGATTATTTGAGTTTAACAAGTAATCATTAAAATCAACTTACTGGGCCTGTAACAATTGGTTTTATAAGCTGAAAACCAGGAGAATGACATCGCAATTGTGTTCTGGGTGATCTAGTGTTTAAAAAAATGGGAAAGAAGAAATAACTACAGATTAATAAGTGATTAATAAGAATTTTCTATCTCCTACCCCCTGGCAAAACCAGGGACCCTGAGGCAGGGCTGGTCACTGTCCACAGCCCAGCTCCCCAAACTCCAGAGCTCCCCTTGTCTGTAAGGTAGGTGACTCTTTTTTTTTTTTTCTCTTTCTCTCCTTCTTTCCTTTGTTAATATTGTACTCCTCCTTAGCCTACAGGCACCACCTCTCCAACAGAACCCAGTTCCATCTCCAACCCCCTGGTGAAACTGTGCCGTGTGCAACTTTTTCTTTATTCTTCTTTATCCTATTTTTGTTTCCCTCTTATATTGTCATTTTCTCCTCATTCTCCAACCTTCTAAAGGGACTAGACAAGTCTAGAATTATACTTTTAAAACACCCTAGTACTGTGAGGGTTCCTTGGATCCTCCTCTTACTGAACAATCTGTGAAAAAGGAGATCTTGTTCTTCAGACATCTGAATAGAAGACTCCTCTGGTGGAGAGCACATTACCAAACACAGCAGAAGAGAAACTTTGGCACACAACTGACCACAGCAAAAGGGAAGCACACTTGTTCCAAGTTGAAGAAATATCCTTAAAAAGGTATCCAAAAGTGATTATATCTCCCAATGGCTAGAAGTAGAATAAACCAGGAAATATGTCTCCATCAAAAGAGCACAATAACTCTTTCCTATCTCTTGAAAAAATAGAGGAAGTTACCAAAATGTCAGAGAAATAATTTAGAACATTCATGGTGACAAAACTATATGAGCTGTAACAGAAGAGAGATATCAAATTACAAGAGATTAGGAAGTCCTTCCATGATATGAAAGAAGAAATGGACATTGTAAGAAAGAATCAGATGGAACTATTAGAGATGAAGCCTGTAATACAGGAAATCAAAAACTCTGAAAAAAAAGTATTAAAAGTCAACTAGACCATGCTGAAGATCGAATCTCTTATGTATAAGATAAAAACTCTGACCTAGGAAAAAAAACCCAGAAACACCAAAAAGATAGAGAAAAATAACAACAACAACAACAACAAAAAAAAACATGAGGATAATATATGCAAAATACTAGATTCCATTAAATGTCCAAAAATTTGAATAATTGGTATCCCAGAAGGGTGAGAAACTGATAAGGACATGGAAAATCTATTCCATGAAATCCTGGAAGAAAACTTTTCAAGTTCAGAGAAACACTCACACCATCCAGATCCAAGAAATACAAAGGACCTCAAATGGAATCAATCCAAGAAGATCTTCCCCAAGACACATCTTAGCCAGACTGGCCAGACCACAGATAAAGACATGATACTAAAATTGACAAGAGAGAAGTGACACGTGACCTACAAAGGTCATCCCATCAGGCTAACACCAGACCTTTCAATGGAAACAATGTAAACAAGGAAAGAATGGGAAGACATATTGAAAGTGTTAAGAGAGAAACAATTTCAACCAAGACTATTATACCCAGCAAGATTATCCTTCATATGGGAAAAAAAGATTAAAGTCTTCTCAGACAAACAAAACCTGAAAGAATTTGCCAATGCCAGACCAGCTCTTCAAGAAACTCTGAAGAGAGTGCTGTTTCAGAAAAACTAAAGAATGAACAGCCAGGAACAAGGGAATAAAAGATAATGAAGACAATGGCCAACTTAAAGGTAGAGTCAAGTCCAGAAATATTGATAATAACATTGAATGTTAATAATGGATTAAATTCTCAAATCAAAAGATACAGACTGACTGAATGGATAAGAAAACAGAAACCCTGTATCTGTTGCCTACAAGAAATGCATCTTATGGATAAAGACATACATAGACTAAAAGAGATGGGCTGAAAAAGATATTCTATGCAAATGGGAACCAAAAAAAAAAAAAACTGGAGGCATGATACTAATTTATGACAAAATAGATTTTAAAACCAAAACTGTT